TCATTGAAGCTCAGTGAGGATAGCTTCATCTAATGGCCAGTGCTAGCCTCAGAAGAATATTCTAAGGCATCGTAATTTTTACTTGTTCGTTTGAATTTCTTGCTACTCAAACTACAAACGTGTCTAGGGTCGACGATAAGGCCAAAATAGATAAGGTTATCAGTAAACGCCTTTTATTTAAGAAAAGTCAGAGAATGATCCGTCTTTAAGTTCCGCGTATTGAACAAGCCGTATGGCACAGCTACCTCCACCACCTAAGGTAGCAGCACGTCCAATAAAGCAAGTCAGGGGAAGCAGCATCTTTGTACCGTCCTTATCCGAGTCCATGATTGGCTGACCTACATCCACGTAGCATAGTCGAGGTTTGGAAGGCGACTTTTGTTTAGTTTCCGTTGATATTCACTTGTATATGCTCAAATTTAAGATGCTCACATGAGCTTTTCATTAAGTTACAACGTTTCGTTTGGATGTCATGCACCTTACCACCTGTGGCCCAAATCTTCACACAATATTGTATAAAGGTGCGTACTGACAGCACATATAGCACTATCACCGTCTGCTCCAGGAATCTGGAGCGCTTTAACTTGGCCACACTTTGGCGACGGGCGCAAGACGGAGGGTTCCAACGGTTCTTCACTTCTATTTCTATTTCCCATCTAATCACTTCCCCTCCCCATTTCACCTGCATATATTTCCCGCATCAGCACATCATCTGTATCATATCATCCCAATTATCCTACATACACACATAGTACATAGACCCCATCACATTTAGCACGCTTGACGTGCATGCGAGCCACTTTAAGAGGCCCAAACGCAGTCGTAGAGTTAGATTTATTATATATAGCCAAACGGTCACTCTAGAGCACATAGATAGACGTCCTACATAAGGCTTGGCCTCAATGGACAGTTAATTCGATTCAAAAAAAAAAAAAAAAACGGTTCATATAAGTCAAGGAAAATGCGAAGTGCTCACATTGGCAGTGCTATTTACGGATATGTCTTTCCCATTTGAGCCAGCCGTGACGCGCATGCTCTGCCGCGCGACCTTTTGCTGCCGGGAAGACTCATAAGCGCCCGACTCGCCGACTCTACGACGCGTCTTGTGCTGCACGCGGTGCCGAATTTATACACAACTATGTTCGACAACAACCTCAATAAAAGCCCTCATGTTGATCCAAATTGCCACCATCTTCCTAGGAGTTGCGTCCTACTTTCTTCTTCCCCGATCTGAAATGCCTTCACTAGCCGCTATCCGCACATCCAACGCTGCGTTCCAACGTTCTTCCTCTCATTTGCCAGTCGCGGTCTTTGTCGGGGGAACCTCTGGTATCGGCCAGGGGTTGGCGGAAGTCTTCGCCAACAACACGAAGGGCAACAGCCACATCATCATCGTAGGACGAAACCGCGACGCCGCTGAGCGCATTCTCTCCTCCTTCCCAAAGCCCGACTCTGGAAGTGTCGCTCGCGAGTTTGTGCAATGCGACGTCACATTGATGAAAAATGTGCAGCAAGCGTCGCAAGACATTCTCGCGCGCTACCCCAAAATCAACTACCTCGTTATGTCGCCAGGGATCATGACTATGCAAGGCCGTCATGAGACGACAGAAGGAATCGACAGGAAATAGCTGTTCATTATTATGCGCGTTGGAAGTTCTTGCATGATCTTCTTCCTGGACTGCAGAGGCGAAGGATGACGGCGAACATGTGGCAGCGATGAGTGTTCTAGCGGCAGGTAAAGGAGGTGCGATCGACGTCGATGACTTGGCCATGAAAAACGGGTATTCGCTCTCAAAGGCCGCTCTCGGTGCACCCACGTATAACGATTTGATGGCGGAGGTTCGTTTTTTTCTATATGTTATCATGTATCTAAAGTTTAAACTCAAACTGTCATTATAGTCTTCGCCAAGGAAGAGCCGCGCATTCCATTCATCCACAGCTACCCCGGATTTGTGCGCACTCAATAATGAGCTCATCGACTCGGGGTCCTACGAGCAACATCAGGATTTCTGCTGGCAATAACACGTCCTTATCTGTGAGTGGAGAGACATGCGGACAGTACCTGTGGCATGGAATATATTCCACTGCGACGAAACCAGGTGCATGGCGGATTGGATCGAGGGGCGAGGACCTCAAAAAAGGCATATGTCGGTGATGATATCAGAGGACAAGCTGTGGGAGCATACGTACAAGTGATGAAGGATGCGTTGGCTTCGAAGTAATGGAGTTGAATTATGGACTCTTTTCGTCGTTATACAATTTCACGGTTATCTTCGGGCTATTGGAAACCTCTCTTTAGATTTTGTTCATTATCCTTGCACAGCTCTCTATATCTGTTAAATTCTCACTTCGTTTCTTGTACGTTTTCAATATGAAATTAGTGCCCTTGATATCATGATGTCTCCTAAAGTTGCTAATCTGCCACTAATACGGTTTTTCAGCTAAATATTTAATTATGTTATAGGTTGAATGCTGAGGAATGAATCAACATGCGGCGAAAAGGATGACATTAACAAGAGCAGTAGGCCGACTCTGTTATGGCCAGGGCATGCCATGTTTAAACGTTTGCTATCGAATTCAAATGGAGGAAGTCAAAAAAGAACAGATAAGTAAAACGAATGGATGGCGTCAAACGGAGGTTAAGTTAAACCTATTCTTTACTCCCTTTGCATGCGCTTTCTGTGATTCGAGCCGAAGGAGAGAAATCTTGGTTTCCGTCCGTATAAGATCTTCCAAGCGGCTTCTCGCACTGGCAATAGTCTCAGTAAAATCCGGTGGTGCAGCTGTGGTATCTAAAATAGCGTCCTCGATACTCTCAGCAATAGTATCCCACTTATGATGTTGTTTCGATTTGATCGCGTCGGACAACCACGCCGCTCCATTCTATGTTTAGGGTCGGGGATCCATACGTTCTCAGAGATCCTATACCAGAGAGGTCTCGGAGTCTTGGATAAAATAAATAAATACGCGGAGGGAACGAACGATAAGAGTGCGCTTACGTGGAAGGGTTATTTCGGTCAGAGAGGGACAAGCATTACCCCACTCCGTTACGGTGTTGAAATCTTCGTCAGGTCGACAAGAAATGTCTCCCATTTCCCAGTAATCGACACAGTTAATATTAAATCTCTGTAGTCGGGTAAAGCGCGGAAGAATAGATCGTATAGCCTGAAGGTAAGCCTGAATATTTGCGCGTCAGGCCTTGGTATCACAATACACGCGATAATCACTCACTTCGGTGGGATTTGCATCGACTAGCAGGATGTTGGAGATATGTAAAGAAACCACATCTGGGAGGTGAATTGATGCCGAGTCGATTAAGTCGAGGTTCCATCCTCGCCGTTGGCAGCTGAGCAGATTAAGAGTCCCATGACTGGAACGCTGCAGTGCTGCGAACGGCTGATCGGGGTTGGTGTCGATGACGTTCCAACTAATAATAGCCGCTCGCAGGGTGCATGCAGTGCCGAGGATGGAACACTCTGAGCGTTGCCTGCGAAATATTGGAGGCGGGGAAGCTCCACGAAAGGCAGTGTGTTGATCTTTCGGAGGCAGCTTCGGATGTGTCCTCGTTTGGAGAGACTTGTAAATAATTAATCTTTGTATGACGGTTCAGAAATTTAATAAGCGGGGTGGATGGGGTGAGGTAGCATTCAAAGTGATTGAGGGCCGGAAATATGGGATGCTTAAGGAGAGTAACAAAAGGGATCGTGTACCAATAACTTGAGGGTATGTAGGCCAGTGAGTCGCGAAGCGCGTCTCTTATTACCGAGTAGTACGCCGCTGGGAATACATTAGTCGAATAATAGCTGGTCGTCGCGTCAGAGCAGCAATCCTTATAGAATATGATGAACACATACGTATAAGAAATCATAAACGAGCGGACAGCTCTTGCTGCACTATGATTGGCCTTGAGTGTTTGACAGCACGCCAGGACAGCAGATGGAGAATAGCGAAATATTGCGATACAACGAACGCAGTGCCAAGGAGTGAAACGTTTTCGATACTTGAGCGATGGCCATCTGGGAAGGTAATGTCGAGTACTGGACAAAGATTTCCAGAACTTCCAATGGGAACCGCGCGATGGTTGGCGATGATGCATCCACAGATTTCATGATTCTGACTGCGATCGCATGGCTCGAGGCAATGTTAGAAGACGCTATAATGCCATTCGAACTCCGGGTTACCAATGTAAATGTGTTGGTGTTGACAGAATATACGATTGATACGAGGCAAAGAATCCACAGTGAACGAAAAATGCTGCTCCCTGCAAGCTCCCTGGCGCGCGTAGGATTGGCTCCGACTCGGAGTTGCACGCGGATACGATTGTGGGCTCTCCAGGAAGTCAAAACGTTGGTGATTCCCAGCGAGTGGGCACGATGGGCTCGAAGCTAGGTCCAGATATTAGATAGTAATCGAACTCAACTAGCCAGCAGATAGAAAACAGCAAGAGAAGCTAGGGAAGCGAAAAAAGACGACCCCCAGGTTCGTATGGCCCCAATAACAGAGGTACCCACGAGTGTCAGTCCAATTTGCCCCTAGTCACACCACCGCGTCTCAGTGACAGGTTTCCATAGAACTGATTTGGGGAAGGTTGCTTGCTGGTTGCTTGCAAGTTGCTAAGTACACCCTAGTACATCGTTCTTGCTGACTACCGAAACAAGCGCTTGATATCACTGATTCTCCCAGAGTTATTTTGGGACAATCTCACGAAATATGTCCGGGCCCAGGCCCTTGATAGTAATTGGTAGCAAATCTTGAGCAAATCGGTACGTAGTGAGGAGAATCCGAGGATAAATAGATTAAAACTATATCCTACCATGATAAGTACACACGAACCTTGGACCAATGTTAGTGATAGAGAGAAAAGTATTTTAAGTAGTAAAATTTGAGCAGTTACAGTGTTTCTTGGATCTGCAAGCTTCAAGTTTCATCGACCACCGCGAAATTTTTAGGCCGTCTTCATTGAGCCCAAGGGCAAAACTTTTGATATAAATGGCATCATATGTCGGTAGCTGGAATCGAACCAGCGGCTCTTCGGATTGGCTCTATTAACCACAACGAAGTGATTTAACCCCTAATCGATACCGACTTAAAATGAGTACTGATCACTATTATCAGTATCTGCACGTGATAGTAGGTTGCTTAGCAAACTCGGATATAATAAACACGAATGTCAAACGTCTCTGAAGGAGCGCCCAACCCTTTTCGACATCGTCCAGGATGCAATTCGGACTCCCTATCATCTATGCGTACTCTGTCAAAGTCCAGCTGTCAATTCTTTCTTCATTACTAGTCATAAGCTATCTTAATCGCCGCGCGAGGCTGGTGATTGCCAGCTTGACCGCTGCGTACTTGCGTTCAAGATCCTGGTGCCGTTGGCGGGATGGGTTGTCTACATTGTTAAAGGCGTTGCGTGGTGTGGATTCTATATCTATTTCTTCCAAAAAGCCGTGCAGTATGCCATGACCGGCATCGATTACCTGCTCAGTGATGGGTTGGAAGCCTTAATCCGGGAGCTAGACAAAAGGGACCGGAGTAGCGGTCAATGAGATGGGATTGTTTGCCTGGTGCGTGATCTATGTCGAATATCATCTGGATACGAAGTGTCGACCTAATTATCACTTAACTATACAGCGATATAATAGACTGAGAACCCGACCCGACGTGATATTGAACGCACCCATCCGATGTCTTGCAGTTGGCAAATTTTTAGCAGGCCATATCCAGCTATACCTAAAAAGAATCTTGATTTTCCTCTGCAATTTATACCCGTACATGTCCTCAACACAATGTATCCACTCTGGCTTTGGGCAAGTCCACTATCTTCTCTGCCGTCGACACGATCTAACTGTAACTAACTCCTATTAGCAGACCTAGAGAACGCGTGTCTGCATAATCTACAGCTGTTAATCTATGTTATTCACTTTGTGCACAAACAAATCTTCAGCAGACCATTCGCATCGCCTACTCTCATGGGAACATGTGCATATCATAAGGAACACTTTATGTCTGTGATTCTCAGACAGGACAGCGTTACCTCTTGGAACTATAATCATTCTGATAGAGGCTTGGCTCAGCTTCGAACGTCCTCAATTTCGTCTTCTGGGCCTTCTTATGCTAGCTACCTTCCACTTCGCCCGGGAATACACGCAAACTCTACTGTAACGCCACGTCAACTTATGCCAGCGTCTTCGTAGGGTTTCATCCATATCGTACAGGCAGAGTGGCGTTTCAAGTTGCATCCCTTTAGTATCTACTCAACCTCTTCCCCACGAAACCTGTAACAGCCGGAGACTTTCTTCCCACTCCTTTCGTTTCTCCATTTTGTATCCAGCGGGGGCGATAACTTTGAGAAGAGAATCGGAGCGGAGTCAATGCATGTTTTGATGCGATACAAAAGGATCCTGGTAGGCCCGATTGATATTCTCGAGACGATTAAATTGGTTTTTTGGGCGAGTGGCCCGACAACTTGAATGCCTGCGATGGAGCAGTTGGAGGTAGATGGATAAACGCCCTATTGTCCGGAAGGTGCGTCGTGGTCTTGTCATTCATTATCCTTCTCCTTTCGAAACTGCTATCCCAGCATTTTAATATTTCAAAGCACAGATAAACATGTGCAACATCCAAAGGCGCTTTGATTCCTCAATTGACCCACCCTCGAAATTTAAGGCGCTTTTCTGTCAATTACCTGCAGTAGACGCCGTTCTATGCGTTTTTCCAGCGCTTGTCGGGGACCGACGTGCTCCGATGCGGTCGTACTACCGGTACTTCCGCCACTCTGTGCAGCGCACCGCGCCAGCAGTATTCCCGTAGCCTTCGGAAGCGCATACCCCCACGCCGCCCGGCGTTTGTCGTTTGTCGTGTGCGGATTCGACGCGCGATCCCACACTGGGAAGAGGCCCTGTTACACTGGTATTATACACCCATGCTCCGTTGTTTCGGCAGCTGCATCGGTTGAGGAAGAAGTGGCAGCACATGCAGGACAATACTGAGGTGCTTATGCGACGCGTCGATTCGTGAAGGGCGTTAGTGAGTCCAACCTACTTCTATGCTTCGCCCTTTATTGTTGTATAAGGCCTATTTTCGTCGGATCTGCTCATGGAAGGTATTTCAGGTACTTCAGCGTGTCGAAGGCATATGAATCTATGCGCGGGGATAAAGCGAGGCAGGGTCTGAATCATGACAGTGATAATTAGCTGACGAAGGTTTTATTTTTAGCGCCCACTACGTATTACTTACTATCACTGATACTATCACCGGGGGGATTCGTTGACCGAAGCCTGCCCTTCTGAGTCTCAGATCTTGACATAATGAAGGTATGTTGTTTTCGACAAATCCGTTACCTCTGGACATAAACGTCATAATCACCCGTATTTGAACAGAGCCTCACGTCGATTCAGATGTCAGTTGTCTGCCACATATGCATACTCTAGTCACAGCGCGCCAATAAATTCCGATGCAGTCGCCAGTCGCCCATTAATTTCCGGTGTGAATATGTGGAGCTTGCACTCTTATCGAGTACATAAACATATCGTGTCCTGGCTAGGCGGCAGGACGAGAACATTCAGGACGTCCTCCTTAAACATATGCTATTTTTGGATACTTCTTTGGGCACCGGATTGTGGTTGCGCCGAATAAATCCATCCTATTTCCCAAAAAGGAGTCCAAGACCACACAAATTGTCTTCAACCTTATGCTTTATGGCGTACCTGTTGGAAGCAGTGCTGCGATGCGAACTGTTGGATGGAAGAGCGGTGCGTATTTTTACCGGTATGAGGAAGGCGCTTCATCCAGTTCAGCCTCAGGTATAAATAATAGTAGTCGTGGACGTTGGAGAATCATCAAATACTTTTTCAAACGCGCCTTCTATTCACATCTAGACTACAATGCCTTTCATACACCATCCCCGACCTCCTTACCAACTGGCCATGGCTGCGAGTAACGAACTCCATGCTCGACGACGTCAGGGGGAAGCCATTGAATGGGTGAGGTCGCTGGAATTGTTCGAGCCACGGCAGTTCCAGAAATTCGAAGCTTGTGACTTCAGCAAGTTGTTTTATCATTGTACATTCGTATTTGCAAAGAGCTGACCATTATTTCAGATCTATTGGCGTCGTTCATAGGCCCCCTAGAAAGCAGAGGTCAGTCTCTTCTGCGTCAGGAAAATTGAGATGGCATGCTCACTAAATTTATAGACCATCTACGAGTGGCATGCGATCTGATGAATTTCTACTTCGCGTTCGACGAATACACCGACGTGGCCAGTCGAGAAGAAGCGAAAAAAATTGCCAGCGATGTGATGGACGCTTTCCGTACGCGGCCTTCAGAACCTTCGTCCAGCAAGATTACCGAGATGGCGCGACAGTGAGTCCACCTCAGACGCATACTCAGAGTTTCGGGGTATCTAATATAATATTATTCTCAGATTCTTCATCAGAACCGTCGCTGCCGTCGGAGAAGACAGTCCCGCGATAGCGCAGTTCATGCGGATTTTGATGCGTACACCACGGCCGTCATCCAAGAAGCCGACGATAGGTCAGAGGGACGCATCAGGACCGTGGAGGATTATTTCGCCCTTCGACGGGACACCTGTGGCGCGAAGCCCAGTTTCTCGTTCTTCGCTCTGGGATTGAACATGCCAACGGAAGTCTTTGAGCATCCAGTGATATTATCATTGGTGGAGAGTGCGACTGATCTCATCGCCATTGTCAACGTACGTCGTTCGACGCAGCTCTTGCGCTTAATGATAAGGCTAACCGTCTTTAATTAATTTAGGATATGCATTCATATGGGCTGGAGCATTCACGCGGGCTCGACTGCCACAACGTTATCACTTCCATCATGCACGAGCACCAGCTGGACCTACAAGCAGCCTATACTGGCTCGCAAACTACGCCAACGCACCATCGCCAATTCCTATCCGACAAAACAGCCTTCCATCATGGGGAGCGAAGTCGACGCCTCCGTACAGGAATACGTCGACCGCCTTGGGCGCTGCGTTCGCGGGTACGACGCATGGAGCTACGAGACGAATCGGTATTATGGCACCAAGGGACTGGATGTGCAACTGACACGCAGGATTACGCTGCAGCCTCGGGCGACTGGATATATCAGTCGGAACCAAATGGCTGTGAGTATTGCATAGGTTTGGGGGTCCTATTAGTGTCTACATCTTATTTATAATTAGAGTTCAAGTACTTAGATTAACGTTGTTAGCGTTCATTAGTCCTACCTAATCCTGACCCTAAACCCAATTTTTCTCGCATTGACACGAAATTTGGCAAGATAATGATGTCGCAATCCTTGGGTATTTTGGAGAACCATTTCGGGTTCACCCATCAATAGGCTGGGTAGTTGTCTGCCCGGCTACCTCCGGGCTGATAACTTTTGACCGCGCTGAGTGAATTAGACGCTCGTGCATATATGGCATTTGTCGAGAATTTTCAATTTTAGCTAATTTTTCAATTTTTAGCTATTGTCTGATTTATAGAGTTGACAAATCTTTTGTTTGGAAGTAAAAAATAGATTTTTTAATTTTTGAAATGAGACAACAATTTAAAGCAGAAAGAAAACTATTCGACAAATGACACAAAACGCCCATGGATTTTCCACATTGTAGAATAAGCCCACCGCAGCAGTGAATATAGGTGCTTGTGTTTATTTTGTGGAGGAAATAATAAATTTTATAAGTATACTCATTATCAATTTACCATTACTATCAGCAGAATTCAAACGGCCGCGACATTCGCAGCTAGCTGTAACGAACAGATGATAAGTATCCAACAGATTGTGTCAGAGTAAGTTTAAAAAGCTTGATCCTGGTTCCCCCGGTCAGTCACATGTAGGCTGATCGCATGGTTATTCCCCTCTTCGACTTCTCGGCGACCTTGTCCGTATGTGCTTCCTTCTTTCGCCTTTAGACACGGAGCCGTCTATTTGATTTAAAAGGTTATGATTATGCTCGGAGTCCCCACACGAAGTAATCAAATATGCGCACCGACGTACTCGCTGTAGGCCTCGCTTCCACAATTTCTCTGGTTGCCGCCGCACCCTGCGATCTCTACGCCGCCGGCGGTACGCCATGCGTCG